ATAAGAAGTAAGACATATCATATGTTCACATTTTTAGCTAATAAACATAATTTAAAACTAATTTCAAAATGTCTCCAAACTTAGGTTTGGTGACTTTACCAATATAACTTTAACATATTCAAAATTAATTCATAAACATAAATATCCATTCATATCAGATTATAATCTTTGACTTCTGTCTTAATGTTATTGACTGTACATCTTCATGGGCAGAAAGACATGAAGTCTTATAATGAATCTTGGAATCTCTTTCTAAACCTTCCTTTCCATCTGTTCAATTTTTAAGTCCTGCTTAATTAAAGTATATCACACATCTATCTTCCTCTCTACAGCAATAGCTGCTACTCTAGACCAGGCTCTAGTCACTTATCACTAGGCTAATATAGTAGAAATCCAACGGGTCGCCGGGCGCTGCAGCTCTCGCCTGTAATGCCAGCGCTTAGGGAGGCTGAGGCAGTTTATTATGAGGTAAGGAGATCGAGACCATCCTGGCCAACATAGTAAAACCCCGTTTCTACTGAAATACAAAAAAGTAGCTCGGCGTGGTGGTGCATGCCTGTATTCCCAGCTACTCAGGAGGCTGAGGCAGGGGAATTGTTTGAACCCAGGAGGCGGAGGTTGCCGTGAGCCAAGATCATGCCTCTGCACTCCAGCCTGGGTGACAAAGCAAGACTCTCTCTCTCAAAAAAAAGCCTCTTGTCTAGTATTTTTCAGAGTAGTTGCAAGGAGTTACTCCTTGGCTCAAAACCTATGAGTGGATTCCAGGGCATTCAGAAAAGTTCAATATTTAGTGTAATGATAGCCAATAACCATGTGACCTGCCATCAATCTCTAATTCTTACCCTATTATAAATATAGACACAGACACACACGGATACAGAAGTATACCATCCTCTCAGTATTACTGATTTTGTCTTGTTCTTCTTCAAATCACTTTCTTTTCTAGCAAGCTCTCTCTTTTATATTTTCTTATACTAATAAACATCTTCCAAAGATCCAGATATAATACAGAGATTGCAAATAGGTGATTTGGTGATTTGCAGGTCAAAAGTGGGCTTCAAATACATTTTGTTAAACTGATTGTGTGTATATAATATGTGTAGGCATATTTGAATTTATGAAATATCAGTTTATATATTATATATAATTTTATAAAATACAAAAAGTATATAAATAATATATAATATATAAATACACTTTAAAAATTTTAAAAGGATGAAGACTGCACATAAAACTTTTGCTTTGTTGCTTCTCTTGAAAAATCAGAAGTCTTTGCCACATAAGGGTCCTTATTCCTAGAAGGTAATAATTAACTAGTGCTAAGGAAATGTCCTCTTTAAAAGGATATACACTCTCCAGTTTCCCTTGGTTCCTGCCACTCCCATTTATATTATAAATGGTTCACTCACTTTGTTCATTTATGTCACTCTCCTCTCCCCTATAGACCTTTACGTCTGTAACCTCTGGTTACTATCTCCTTCTCCATGAAAACCTGATTACTCTATTGACTTCAGATCCCTGCTTTCTCTGCAGTCCTACAGATTTTTAAAGTACTCCTTTTTCTTTTTATTAACGACAAAACAAACATATAAATACAAAAATCTATGACCAAAAGCAACATTAAATGCCTTTCTCCTCTAATACTTTTTCGACTCCTTGAGAGTTATATTCTCATTTGATGTTTTTCCTCTCAAGAAATTTAGTTCAGTAAAGAAAAAATATGTTGCAATATTCTTTTTCTTAAGAGGGTGAATGAGTAAATAATGAAGCTTCCCTAAAATAATTTTCAATAAATATAATTTGTCACTTTCACTAAAATTGCAAATAAACAGCTATAGCTCAATGAGGTCACTGACGTACATAACAATCATTAGGAGTTGCCACTTAACTGTTTCTTTTTTTGTATTTTACTTTACATGGCTAAATAAATGTGCCATTCTTTAAGCTCTGCATTTGGTAGTCTCATTTGCACATGTGTTTTTCTCATGTCTTCTACAGTTATCTTAATGGAATGCTTATTTAAACCCTCATAGATCTAGCCATATGGAAACAAGTTATTTGCTATGAACTTACATCATTACTTCAGCATCTCCGCATGCTTTTGTATCCAACGTGCAAAACCCAATCACATTAGTGGTAGGTAGAGTGATTTGTTCAAGGAGACAGGGTAATTAAATCTCACAGAGTCGAACAATTAAGGCCAAATTATTTAGAAGACTGTAAATGTAGAGGCATTACACTTCTTTTTAAGTTGGGTAAAACAGGGAGTGTGGTTCCACGGACTCTGGATCTTAGATTTGTTTGAATGATTTGATTATCTGGTTTCAGGGAATTAGAGAGTGGACTCATATTTTAAAAACTGATTAAAATGTGGCTGTTAGAATAAAAATTGACTAATGGGTTACTTGAAAATTGACAGCACAACTCCTGACAGATTAGAAACTCTAACATCTTTACTATCATTTGATCCAGGAGGAGAGAAACATAAACAATCCCTCTACTACTTAAATCTGGACCTTCATTTAACCTCTAAATTCTCTTTCATTTTGTATGTGTTGGCTCTGGAAAATGTGAATGATATGGTCATCAAGAGAATTAAAGTACAGTTGTTGCATATTAGTCTAATGGAACTGTCAGGTCTCTTTAATAATAGGAGTGTATCTTTGCAATCAATCAGCTATTCATTAATAGAAACAGCAAAGTGGTCTTCATTTTTTCAACATACCATTTAGTTAGACTGAGAGAGACTCTCCTACATGTTTTATAATTGTTTTACAAACCCTTTTAAAATTACTGTCATTTTTGCTTTATTAGCAGGGTTCATTTATGTCATCTGTATGTGATTGCAACTAAATCAGATTAAACTAAAAAAATTTAATTTGGCTCATTCATATAACACTAAGTGTTTTTTGTTTTTGTAAATCAAACAGTAATGTTATCGTTTAATATAGAGGTATTCTCTATTACTCATCAGATGTATGTATTAAGGAATAAAAAGTAAGCTGCTTAGATGACCGCATCAGCATTGCCAGACAAAAACATCGAACTTGGATTTAGTATCCCCTTTGACACTCATTTCCTTAGACTTCTGAAAATCTATGCTGAACCAGTGAGACGATGAAGCTAATCTCTTTTCTTCTGCCTGCTATCTTTCGAAGAGTGTCAAGAAATATCTTTTTTCTTCAAGTTGCTCCCTGCAGAATAGGAAAAACATACAAATTTAAATAATTAAAGATCAATTGAGTACAAAATGCTGAAAAGACTAAAATATAATTAGCTTTGATGTCTGCATGCCTGTTCTTTTAAACATGATTTTTAAAATATTTAAAGGTTATTGGCATTACTCACCATTTTGCTATGTAAATAAAAAGTGTATGGACTTGGCATCGTTTTTCAGGCTGTTTTCTAAAAAAAAATCATTAACAGTTTCTTTAATGTACAGTTAGTCGACATGATTAGAAAACGTCTCAATAATGTGCTTTTATTTTTCCTTTCAGGTAAATTTTTGTTTCAGGCAAATTTGTGCTAAATTGTAATACCAAATAAAAAGGCATATAAATTACAATTATATAACTTTTTCTGTACAATTGTAGACAGAGTGAACACAGCTATATAAACAGTACTCAGATCAAGACACAGAACATTACCAGCCTCCCTGAAACCCTCTCATATCCATTCTTTTCTTTTCTTTTTTTTTTTTTTTTTTTTTTGTTTTGAGACGGAATTTCGCTCTTGTTACCCAGGCTGGAGTACAATGGCGCGATCTCGGCTCACCGCAACCTCCACCTCCTGGGTTCAGGCAATTCTCCTGCCTCCGCCTCTTGAGTTGGAATTACAGGCACGCGCCACCATGCCCAGCTAATTTTTTGTATTTTTAGTAGAGACGGGGTTTCACCATGTTGACCAGGTTGGTCTCGATCTCTCGACCTCGTGATCCACCCGCCTCGGCCTCCCAAAGTGCTGGGATTACAGGCTTGAGCCACCGCGCCCGGCTCTCATATCCTTTCTTAGACACTGTCCTTCCAAAAGTAACTACTATTCTAGTTTTAACATACAGATTAATTTTTTCTGCTTCTTAAAGCACAATATATATACCCTTTTGGCTGGCTTCTGATTGAGCTCATTTTTTAATTCAACCATGTTGTTGTTTGAAGCAATAGTTTGTTCTAATGATGTAGAGTATTTCATCATGTAAATACAACAAAGAGTGTTTGGTTTGTTTCTCTTTGAGGTTTTTATGAATAGGGATGTCATAACATTATTAAACATGTCTTTCTATTGGGCAGACACCTAGGACTAGTATTGTTAGGTCAAAAGGTAGGCATATATTCAACTTGAGAGATATTGAAAAATAGTTTTCCTAAGTGAAGTTTCTTAATTTGGAGTCCTATCTCAAGTCTCATGTTAATTTAACTATGAGAATTCCATCTCTTTCAAAACCTTGCCAACACTTGGTGTTGACTGTCTTTTTCCTTTCAGGCATTCTGCTGGCAATATAGAAATATCACGTTGTAATTTAATTTGAATTTATCTAATAATGAATTAAGTCAAGAATCTCATCATATGTTTATTTGCTATGCAGACTAGTATTCTGGGAGTTTGAACAAATTCAAATTATTTCCTTATGGCTTCTTAGCATTAGTGCTTAAACTGTCATTCTGTGAGACTGAGGCTGTGTTAGTGGATCTGAGTCTACATGCCACTGGGAATAAAATCATTAAGCATAAACATTCCTCTTACACCCCTCCCATCTCATCATGCCTATACTCAATTCTTGCAAAAGTAGATCAGCTTAGGGTGAGGGATGATTAGGTAGATATAAAAGAGATGCCTAATGGAGCTAAAGATACAAAATGTCATGGCATTCATAATTTTTCTATTGTGGAGCATATATTTAACCTCAAAAATGTCAATCAATCTAACAAACCAAAAAAGGAACACTGATTACATCATAATATAGAGCACCCATGATGAAGACTGAGACTCAGATGAGGCAGCACACAAGCCTTCCCTGCATTCTGTGGTCCATATTGTAGGAAACAATCCTCTCCTGCCACCACGACTGCCCCTTCCTGCATGCGATCCATTAGATATCAGCTAACAAAGACTGTGTTAAAGGAAACTTGAAGCCAATGTACAAGCAAAGAGGATTTTCAAAAAATAGCAAGGGCCTTAAAACAAGAAAACACCAACACCAAAGGTAAGCAAGAGATAACAGTAGCAAGGGCTATACAAAACAGAAATAGAAACCGTTCTCTTGGCCACGTTAATTCTAGTTCCTCATCATATACTTAGCAAGGAGGGTTCAGAAAACTATACAGAGTGGAATCTCATAACATTTAAAAAGGGTCTTAAGTATGAAAGGAACAGAATAGACAGAGGGGGGAAAAAACTTGAAGTGATTGCATTCTTTACACAAATAATCTTTGATCTAATTTTAAATATAGGTAAATTTCTCAAATGGCCCAAGTGAAGATGTTTTTAAGACAGAGTAAATTAAGGAAGGGTGAAAGGGAAGAAAGTTAACTGGGACAGGTAATTTGGAAAGTGAAGAAGACAGAAAGAAAAAAGCCAACAAATACTGGATACCTTTTTTGTTCAGAGGTAGGAAGTGAGGTACTCATTTGAAAACAAATCTATGAACTGCGGGAGAAAAATCAGCCCAGGAGCAAGGATTTCACACATCAGTCCTTGGAGGGACGCTGTGCTCTATGAGGACCCAATCATGGTGTCATGCAAATGTTGCCACTGTGTACTCTCTCCTTCTTAATCTTTGTCAATCCAGTCTTTTCTATGGATTTGCAATAATTGATAGGACAATCATAAAGTTGTTTTAGTTTCTTTTCTGTTTAAAACATGAGCATGTAACCCAATTTCCTGCCTTTTGTCTTATGAATGGATCGCCTCTTTTGGCATTTTGACAAGGGCAGTGTTCCCTTTGCATTCTCTTCCTTGCCGTGCTCCTCTTTGTCATACCCATCTCCTTTTCTCTTTTTAGAGAGTTATGCATCTCTCCATTTGTTTTGCAAAGGAATCTGGCTGGCTGGGAAGAAAGGGCTATTTTTCCCATTGGCATACGGTCAGGCATTTGAGGCATGTTGCTGTTGAGACTGTGTGTTTATTTTTGCATCGTATATCAGTCTAATTTAATGTGATTCCTGCATAAAACTGTCCACCCATACACACACATTTATATATTTTATTTTATAGTTAGGGAATAAGGATTTTTCACCTCTAAAAGAACAACTGGCAGGCTGTGATTGCTGCCTGCCTACTGAATAGTTTATTGAGAGCATAGTTAAATTAACATGAGACTTGTCATAACACTTTAATTTATCTTTGGAATAGGAGCAATGATTTGGCTGACACTTTTTTTTTCTTTCTTATTCTTCTATTTAATGTATTTTCATTCTATGAAGCTCAGGGTAGGCTTAACTCAGTCACTTGGACTTGACATCACACCTAACTTTTATTTTTTAAGAATTTGGGTTTGATAAATAAAATTCCAGATCTGATGAAAGACTGCATGGTGTTAAATTTGATAACTATTTCAATATAGTACATAAAATTAAAAAAGCTCCCATGTTTTCCCTGCTTGTCAGAAAGCTCGAATGGCAGGGCAGTCCACCTGCCTTTATGAGACAATGTATCTCCCATTTCTCCATCCTGGCTCTGGCAACTTTGTATTCTCATTTATTTTATTTTGCTTATTTGAGATAAAAAGGGATAGGTACAAATAAATTAAATCACTTAAGATCTCAGAATAAAATTGTACTGTAGGACATGTTAGCACTTACCAGCCTATTATCTGTATTCTACTGTGTCTCTACACTATATAATTATTAAGTTTATTTTGATACATACAAATCACTGTTCTGTGAATAATGTGACACCCTGAAAGTATTAAGTAAGAAGTTCTGCTGTCTCTGCTATTTTAAATGAGCATGTGTAGTTTCACTTCTCTTCCTCTCAGTTGACTCCTTCCAAAAGAGTATAATTAACAATAGCTTCTGGGCTACTGTATCTATTTAGGATGTCAGTAAAGACCTAGAGATCAATGGGCAACATCAAGGCAATAGTCCAGGTTTCATGAATAAATTTCCCCAACCATGAAATTCAAATCGGTTCTTCCGGATGCCACATAGCAAGCTGGAATGTGATGCCTCCCAAATAGAATCCCAGGGAGTGACTTCAGTAGGGAAATAATGGTCTGGCAGACACTGCTCTCCATGAGGGGTAAGCAACAGCATCATGAAGCTGGAATCAAGACTCATTACAGGAAACTCTGAACAGTTGCCTCAGATGCTACCACCCTGAGATCCCAGGCTTTCTGAGAGAATGAGTCCAAATGAATACATCTGGGACATAATAAGCCAAACCACAGAGATTTTGCTCTGAAAAATAAAAAGCAGTAATGCTGGAAGTGAGCCAAAGTTTACAATAAAGCTTGATCATATCATATACTATGGATTGTCCAAGATGAAATATGGATGTGCCCATGTTATGAATGACATATGGTCAAAACAGAAAACACACTTGCCCTTTGACATTAAGTTATAGGCATCCATACATGGGAGACATTTCTATAAAGGAAAATGTGCTCAAAATTGGAAGACAAAGCCATTGAGAAGTAGATGTTGATGGAAAGATGAGTTAAATAGCGACAGGTTGCCCTTATAAACAAAAAGATAGACAAAGTTATACAAGATCTTGAGGAATTTGTTCTCTATATCTAGAAGAGTTCCTGACACATGGATAGTATTCAATATATATCAGATGAATCAATGGCTTTCAAATACAAACATTACTATAAAGAAGTTGTCACTGTGCCCTATAGGAACATACAACCACAAGATATATTTAATGTTTTTCTTTAAATGCTTGAGAAGTAATTCAAATGGAGTAGATTCAGATATTCTTTCTAACCTCAAGACCAAGCTTATGTGCTCTCATAATTCACAAAGGGAAGGTGAACTTTTAAATAAAGCCAACAAGCAGCACTCTCTTGAATGTGGGACATTCCAGACCTGTGCTGGAGCCTTTACAGCTGTGCCAGCATTCATAGACAGAAGCAGAAGCTTTTCATTGATCACATATCATAGATTCTCCAGAAGAAATTGCAAACTCTAAAAGCATGCATCCCATCTGCCACCTAGTACCCTGTTCTTGCTCATATTTAGATGTATAAATGAAACTTGATAAGTTATGTTTTGCTGTATTTGAGGATTTGGGGCTTTGTCTCAGCTTTGTCTCAAATAACTTCAGCAATAGAATTATACTTTAAATCTTGGCCAAATTTTAAATAGCCAAAATATATTCATTGTATGGCTGCAAACATGTAATGTGGTATGCACTTGCTCAAATCTTTTAACAAATTGCAAGAAAAGATATATGTTTCCCATATGGGAAGTCAGAAATGAAAGGGCAGTGCTTATGATTTAACACTGCAAAGTTTAAAAAATCTTTCCTGGTAAAATTAATTCAGGATTCTAGCCCTGTAGAGGACATCAAAAGGAAAATTATAGAAACTGTTGCCATGTTTTACAGATCATCTGCAGCAAAAAAACAAAAAACAGTAACTTCTATGGGAAGATCAAGATGTGTGAGCACTGAGGCTTTATGAAAAGGTGCATTCAAGGTCTTTCTTTTAATAGAGTTTGAATGGTTTGATAATATGCATATTGCTCACAGAGCTTTGGGACATGATGACAGAGTCTATTTAGTGTCCACCCTGCTTCTTCTGGCTAATGTTAAGTATATACAGAATAAGAAATAAATGTAAGAAGATGTAAAGTGGATGACTGGAAAATAAGCATACCAACATGTGGATGGGCTTTCATGTAACTGGATCACCTCCTGCTTCTAAGTAGTTAGAGTCCTTCATGGTTACTCTTAGCCTTCTATTGGTTGAGACTATCCTTCAGTTCAATCCCAGATGAGCCCTCAAGTGCAATCTTCTCTACACTGAATACCTGTTCTATGCAAATTAATTGTTGAGGGTTAGATCGACATTAAATGCAATTGTTAATTTATGGAGATAACGTGGAAGGAATACAGCCAGGAAGAGACACATATCAGATCATTTCAAGATCCCAAAATGAAAGAACATCATGTGGGTCCTCTACTGGTTCTTTCTATCCCATTTTGTGTTCCACAGTGGGTAGGATTGCTTCAGGTCACATTGTTTTTATGTTACTCTTCTTTTTAGAAGTTGGCAATGAAGCCCTAGTCACAAACCCTGTGCATACCCTCCTTGTCCTCTGCAGAATTTATCTAGTTGTTCATTTCCCTTTTCACTGGATTCCAGGCCAACGAATTTCCCTATTCCTGCCATGTCTCTGACTCTAACTTGGGTGCTTGCTGTTCCTCTCCTTTACATTTAATGTAAATTTCCCACAAGATTTGCCTTTGGCTGTCTTTTCTTTTCCCTTCTAGAGTTGATCTTTCATTCATGCCTTCTGCTGAAGAATCCTAAATCAATAACCATGTTTTTCACTCCCCCTAATTGCAAGGGACATCAGCCAATCTCCTCATAAATGTCCTGTCAGCACCTCCAATTTGACATGCCTATAACTAATCATCTACTTTCTCCTTATATATGCTACACTACCTCTCATCATACTCTCAATGCGCAGAAGCTACTGCTCCAGTCGGACAGACTCAAAACCTTTGAGTCCTTCCTGTAGTAGGTCTGCATTATAAATTTAGTGCTAATCATGTAAGAATGTAAGGAAGTAAATTGCACTTTACTGTCTTTCACATGTATCCCTTTCCTGTCTATTATTGCTACCAATCATCTAGCTAACAACTGTTTCTCTCTCATAAACAATATCCATAAGAGGATTTGTCCTACTGCAATTTATTCCTTGAACTTAGACTTCTGTTTATCACACAAGCATTACGATTCCCATTACCATTATGTAGAATGGTAAGGAAAGTATTACTGAAGCAGAACTCTCGTCCAGGTATCCCCAATTATGTAGCTTTCAATGGTTTCCAAGTACTTCCTAAAAAGTATAGTACAAGAAAAAGTACAAGGGAGACTAATTCTAAAGCAGAAAGTCATTGGATTATATGAAAGGAAGACTGAAAGTAGGAGCAAAGGTAATACCAAATATTTGTTATGCATAAGCTGAAGAACTGTGGATATGTGGTGAGTTATCACTAAATTATGCAAAGAACTATAATTTGCTTGTTCAG